TTAGTCGAAATCATCGAAATTATGCTTCACTTCTAAGTTTCAAAGTAAAAGGAATTTTTGATACTCGACGAAAGAGTATACAGTATAGTGAAACAGCGACCTGTTTGCGACTGACAGAGATGTGGGCAAATGAAATCGGAATTAAACATTAACGTTAATACAGTATACAGGTGAATTGTACGAACGTGAACATTATACATCGATAAATTAAATTGAACCGAGCTTGAAATCTAATTAAAAGAACATTAAACATGTACGAATCATTAAATTGGCTGACTGCCAAAAATAGAGGGATAAAAGCGCGAGATTAAAAGTTTTGGTAGAGATACTATTTACGTTGTGCGAGTATTTGTATATTACTATATTAGAAATAATAGAAAATAGAAATAGAAAAAATGCGATATTTTGTTAAGTTGAGTCTGTAATTATGCACATCACTTTACAAAATAATACAAAAAAGATTACATATTACTTCTATTATACTGTCCATTTTAGCCAACAGTGAAAGGGTTAATCCCGCTTCTGCGCGAGCATTAGACAGGAAATTTACTTTTATACCGTGGAAGAAATAATTCATTTTTGGGAACGAATTCACTCGAACGGCGCGCGCGGGTTAATTGATGTATTAAGTTTTCATGAGTGGTTTCCAGGGGAAATCATAGCGTTACATACCAACACACGTTCCCGAGAAGCCAATACCAACGAGATGAATAACTTAACACCTTCCTGTCGCGTAAGCTGATATCGTATTTCAGTTCTATCAAAATTCCTGACATTGGCTGATCGATTCAGCGTGGAATGACCGAATGCATGCATACATGGACGAAAACAGTACATAGTCCCCGTCAGAATATCTCGGTCCTAGTAGCCCGTAAGTCATAGGTTAACGCCCCTGGGAAATTATCCAGATGTGTCGATACCAATTTCTGACAGCCAATGAGCAGCGTCTCTGCTTATCGTATTTCATCTGCGCCCATCAAATACGGCTATACTTGATATTCCCATGTATTCGGAGGACCAAGATCACGGACTGCACTTTCTCACGGAGATGCTTGTGCACAGGTCCTCTTTCTATGAGAACGAGCTCTGGTAATTCGACGCGACGCGACGCATGGTATAACGAGTGCACAGGTGAAAAGAATCAAAAGCCAATTTTCTACCGAAAAATCTGAATATTATTAATATTTTTTTAGTATTTTATAGAATGAAATAACCGGTTTCCAAATTTCAATATTTAAAAAAACCGGTTTTCTATAAAAATACAACAATATACAATACATTTCACACGAAGCAAAATATAAGTATCCTGAAATTACTAAAATAGACAGAAAATATAAATTATAATTTTTCATTTTATTTATTTACATGATATATAAATGTATTTAAACATAATGTGTCGACTGAATCTTGTTCTTATTTTCGATACAAAATTGTCTGAAATAGAAAATATTCTTTACTGGATTCTTTACTGCTACTGGGCTTGGTTTAATCATTTCGAGAACATCAAATAATAAATCCGGAGGTTTAGTTCTTTTGTTAGTTGCCTCGTACTATAAATGAACATTATAATAAAATACGTTTGTAGATTTGCGTGTTATGTATTCGTCTGACTGATAAACATTAGTTTTATTACAACATGTTTTTGCCCGAGGCAATTTCAAATCAAAATGTTAATGTTTTTAATTAAACAATCAATCAATTTGTACATCTGGATTCTAATGATAGAACAAGTTGAACTCTATAATGTACACGAAAGAATAATCTTTTAATAATATAAAATCGTATGTTAACATTGTTAATGTACGTATGTTAACATTGGTAATTGAACAACGCTTGTCTAATCCTCTAATTAATCCTCTGCGCGCGCGCGCGTTATGTGTGTGTGTGCGCGCGCGCATTTTGATCTAACGTAATTAAATTATTACCTAACGTCTTTATTTAATTAACGTATTGTTATTACTTAACGTATTTATTTAATTAACGTATTATTATTACTTAACGTATTTATTTAATTAACGTATATTTAAATTAATACTTAGTAAATTATTACTTACTCTATCTTCAAAAATATGTTTTCGAAAATATGCTAAATTAAATGAATATTGTCATAAATACCGTCAATCATATAGTTGTGTTAAATGATTTGCCGTCCGCAGGTTAATAAAACTCGTGGCGTTCTTTTAGAGTTGCGTTATACCGGAAATCCGATTGAATATTCATATTTCTATCTGTTGTTTCCATCATTCGTTACATCAATTACCAATGTTAACATTCGTGTTTCATATAATTCCACTTTTATATTATTGAAAGATTATTTGTTTATGCGCATTATGATTTAACTCGTTTTATCATTAATTCGAACTCCATTCTATCAGTATTTATGTTATAAATTGAATTTTTAATACTCTGAATGCCAGTTCATTTATCAACCTTCATTCTAATTAAAATCTATTTAAGTAT